AGTCGGTTCAAATAAATATTTTATTTCATCACTTCAAATGCAGCACTGCTTGCTCATGAATCAGCGAAAAACCTTATTTTGTAACCCGTGGCATTTGAAACTGTGCAATTTGACCTTTTTAATCGAAATTTTCCTGCGCTGGCTCATCTCATGCTTGTTCGGTTGCTCAGTTTGATTTGTTATTTCGCGTAATTCTGAGCACTTCTAGCAAAATTATTAGTATTTAAATTTTTTACAAATTCCATCGGTATCTGAAATTATTTTCAAGGCGCCAAAGCTGGACAAACTCATTAGAGAGTAAAGTGAGTAGTTTTGTTCGATGTGGTACTTTCTTACTTAAGGGTGAGTTTGATTGCTTTGTCGTGTCGAGCGCAGTGCTTGGTTCGTTGCGTGGAGTCGCTCACGTCATCGCTGAGATACGATAGAAAATAGAAACAGTTGTAAAGCCGATACTTTCATTCATCCAATTTACGATAAAAGACAGGGAAAAAAAAATAAACAGTGACATGCCCCGAGGCAGTCAAGTGCAATCATGCATTTTGTGCAGTACTGCACAGTGGGCATTTGCTGTTAAGAACACTGGCTGATTTACACTCTGGCGCAAAATTACTCGGAGAGTTGTTGACTCTCCGAGCCACCAGATTTCTCACCGAAAATTTTACGTGCTTGTACATGAAATGTAGGCATTCATGAGAGCTTGATTTGAATTTATACGATTGCGCATGAACAGAAAACCTCCTCCAGTAATTTTAGCTGTCTGTTTTGTCCAGTTCCCGGACTGGAAATCTTCCACGTAAAATTCCATGCGCCCGTACCTGGAACGTACATGAAAGCTGAATTGGAAGCTCGAGGGTTGCAAGTTTAGAAACATCATACTAAGCTTTCAGCTCTCCATCTTTTCGGTCCCGGAGGCAGAAGATTTCACACCAAAATCCCCACGTGTCTGTGCGTACATGGAAGCTGATTTAAATTTTGGGGATCGCACTTGGGAACGGAACATTTTAAAATTTCAATTTCATAGCTTTCCTAATTCCCGATTTGGAAACTTCTGGCAAAATGCACTCTAAATGTATACGCATACAAACATATACACATGCACACACTCGCGTTGACTAGAGGACGTACAAAAGAAATGACTCCTGAAAGTAATAGGTTTTATAGAATTAGGAGTGAAGTTTTATATTGAGAAAGGACATGTGTGTGTGTGTC